GCTCCTGAGCCCAAGGCCAGCCATCAGAGCCTGCAAGGGGCAGTGAGCAGAATCCTACCATTGCCAGGCACACTGGGGAACTTCAGGGGCACCCCATCCTCCCCAGTCTCAGCCTGCACGATCTCCAGTGGTCCCTCAGTGACATTCTGAGTGTCCATGTATCATCTTAGGGGGACAGCCCATATCCTTAGGGACTGACACCAGATCAAGAGGCGTCACACTCACTACTGGATGATACCTGCAGCCCTCTCCCCAGCCCCCTTCCTTCCTGATGGCTGCCACCTCCACCCCTTCTCATGACATGGAGGCCAGGCTTGCACTTTGAGATCTCAACTCTAATTTTGCTTCTCAGTTGTCCCTAACCACCCAGCCTGGAAAGCTCCTGCTTTCCTGCTTGAGTCCCCAAGTCAGTCCCTGCAGGCTTCCCTTGGAACCCTTGGTTTTTATGTTTCCCACTTCCTGTAAGAACCACAGGGCAGGACCTTGTCTTCCTAGCCTCACTGGGTCCCAAAGGCCTGGTCCAGGGCAGGTACACTCAGTAAAGTGAATAAATGAATGTTCACTGCCAACAGCCTCCCAGGCGAAGATCAGCTCACCCAGACTCTGCTGCCCACAGTCCACATCAACCACCTTTAAGCCTCTTCTCCTATTGCAACCCCATACCCACTGCCCTAACTGTCCTGCTGGCTGCTCACAGAACCTCCTGTCTGCCTCCAAACTTTTGCCCATCAGGACCCTCCACTTGGAACTCCCTGACTACTATGTGGCCTTCACCACCCAGCTCAAGACACCATGTAATTCCCGAGAACCTTTTCTGTTTCTTCCAGTTGGAAGCATTGCCTCTCTGGTCTCTGGTCTCTGGTCTCTGGGCCCCAGTGGACAAATCTCTGTGAGAGAGGAGGACCACACTCTCATTAATAGATTGTTGGCTGGGCGAAGAGGCTCATGCCTGTAATCCCAGCACTTTGGGAGGCTGACGGGGGCAGATCACTTGAGGCCAGGAGTTCAAGACCAGCCTGACCAACATAACGAAACCCCATCTCTACTAAAAGTACAAAAAATTAGCCAGGCATGGCAGCTCACACCTGTAATCCCAGCTACTTGGGAGGCTGAGGCAGCAGACTCGCTTAAGCCCAGGAGGTAGAGGTTGCAGTGAGCCAAGATCGAGCCATTGCACTCCAGCCTGGATGATGGAGCAAGACTCTGTCTCAAAAACAACAACAACCACCACCAGATTGTCTTCTGATTGAACAGGTTCTCTATAAATCTAAACACTGATTATCCTCCCCCAGCCTACCCCAGCTCTCACCATGGCCACAGCCAGGCCTATCACCGTGATGATCCCAAAGGACAGAAGCATGGTACCCACGCCGGCCGTGCCACCAGCCACATCAGGGATTCTGGTGTCATTAAAGGTGGTGGCCTCTGGGCTGAGGGTAGTGGTCTCGGAGGCTGGCCCATCTGTGGCAGGTTCCAGGTCAGACTCAGAGGTGGGTGGGCGGCTGCTGAACCAGCCCCTAGCAGATGCGGTCCTGGAGTTCATGCTGACGCGGAGAGGGCCCTGGCTGAGAGGCTGCCTGAGGCCACTCAACCTGCCCACTCACTCCTGACTCCGGAGTGCCCCAGCCTGTGGTTCTTGCCACCTGTGGTGGCCACCTGCACAGTCACCTCCTTGGATAAAGGGAGCCCCCTGCCTTCCTGGGTGCTAGAAAGGAAAGAATAAGAAACATAAGGCTAAGGACAGGGACTCAGTAGTGAGATGAAGTCTCTCTAGGTTCTGAAAGCATTGGTGAGGTAAAGGTTTGAGAGCAAGGATGAGAGCAAGTTCAGGAGGCATTAGGACACATATTTACATATCTATGGTACCCCTGTTTTTAGGAACAAAAATGAAGCCCTGCATCCTCTGTGGATAAGATGATCATAGTGATCAAACCTGGAAGATATGAAAGACAGCAGGGATGTTTGAAAGAAAAGATCTCCCTCCCCTGATCAAAAACTCCCCCCAACCTGCGTCCCCATATCCCCCACCACCCCACATCCACCGCCTCATTCCCTGCCTCCCACATCCCTCATCCTGCTTGGGGAAAAAATACCACAGCTTTTTCCTTTCCTGGAGGGAAACACTTGCCCAAGAGTCAGACAAGCCTGTCTTTGAAACCTAGCTCAGCCGCTTAACTAGTGATCCCTGGAAAGTCACTCCACCTCTCTGTGTCTCCGTATTCCTGAGTCTACAGGGTCATGGGGTTACAGAAATGGCAGAACAAACAGGTCTCAAAGAAAGACTTAGTTCAGCACAACCCCCATCCACAGTAAGAATCCACTACATGTTAGATTTTCTCCCCATGGCCAACCCAGTCACAAAGGGGAGACATGGGAGCCCCTGGACCCAGTCCACTGTGTGGTCCAGACTATGCTTGGAGTGTGGGTGGAGGCTGATGTGGAAAGACCAGAAGAAGGAGAGAGAGGCTCTGGTTCTTTGGCCGGGCTTCTCTGCAGGCTCTCAGGGACATTGGACTGCCCTTCCCACCCACCAACAATAGAGGGGCTGCTAGGGTCAAGAAGAAAGGCGAGGAAGGAATGGAGCTCCCAGTTTGGGTGCCTTCTCTTCCTTTACCCTCCTCCTCTGGAAGCAGAAGGTGAGAGATCTGCCCAGTGCAGAGGGCCCTAGTTAAGGTGGGGTGGGAAGAGGTCCCAGCCAAGCTGCAGAAGGGGCGGCCTAGGGAGAGGAAGGATACCTAGCTCATGGGTACACACGTCCCTTTCTGTGCTGGTTCATGGGCATTAGTGGGGGTGCCTCCCTGTGCAGATGCATGTACGTGTGTGGGGTGTGTACACACCTCTGGTGGCCCCTGAGGAAGGGGCAAGGTTGGCAGAGGGTTATGGGGTAGAAAGGCTCATCCCTCTTTGCCTTCTCCCTCCAGCTAGGCTGGGCACATAGGAAGTCCCGGGTTCTTTTCTTGGTTTTGCAACTGATCCCGGGCGTGACCTTGGGCCAAACCCTTACCTCTGGGGCTCTGTTTACATCGCCTCCCAAAGGAGAGAAGGGGCCCTACTGACCACTTTCCAGGCCTGCCTCAGGGTCCAAAGGGTAAGGGAAGGAAACCGGGACGAAAGGGGTCGGCACCGCGACCTTTGAGAACCCGCATGCCGTTCTCCACCAGGTCTCTCAGTCCTCCCTGCCCCAATCCCCATGCCCGCCTCCGCGACCCTGTGATGCCTCCCTTCTTGCACAGGAGCAGCGACCTCAGCACTTACTTAATCCTCTCCCGGCGCCGAGCTCAGTTGGAGAGGCTAGGGGTGGTAGTGACTGGCAGGAGGCCGGGGCGGGGGGAACCCCCAGGCCCGGCGTCGGGGGCTGCGGGTCCGACCAGAGGTCCACCCTCCCTGCAAGCTCCGAGCCGCTGGCCAGGCCCGCTACTGCGCACCGGCCTCAGCTGCGAGCGCTGGCTCTGCCGGCCTGAGCCAGGGTGGGTGAGCCAGGGTGGGTAGGGCCAGGACCCACGGCGGGGGTGGGGCCGGGCGGAGCAGCCTCGGGGGATCCCCGAAGCTACAGCGCCTTGCCTCCCTGCACGCTCCGCGCCCCCGGTCCCCGATTGGTTGTCGGGCCTAGAGCCCGCCCAGAACTGGACTGTTCGCTTGTCGCTCGGGTCTGGCTCCACCCCTAGAGGGAGCCTGGAGCCTGGAGCCTGGTTGCAGTTTTTAGAGAGTACCCCTGACCGCGTGGCCTGCGCTGAAGTTGGGCGTGGGACCGTACGTGGCTAGGTCCTTCCCGGGCCAGACCTTGGGACCCCTGCCAGCTACCCGTGCCAGGACAGACTCACGCCCCCAAAACGCGGATGTACAGAGACTTGGGGAGAGCAGTGGACTGGGAGTCCTTGGGCCTGCACTGAACTCTGGCTGACTTTGTGACCTTGAAGAAACTACTTTTCCCTTCGTGAACCTTGGCTTTCTACTCAGATGGGTCCTCTGGTGTGAGGTTCTTGGCAAATGACTCCAACCCCGGGCTAGAAATGGGGAATCTTCGTCCAGAGAAGTTGAGAGTGGGGCGGATTTATTATTGGGCACCCCGACCCAGGCAAGTCTACATATACCCTTACAATAGCTTCCATCCACAGCATGATCAGCTCAGGGAAGGAGCCCTCAGATACTCCTAATCCCTCAGATACTCCTAATCCGCCGGTTTTCAAAGGAGTTTATGGGGGTCACAAGGTAGCCTGGTACAAATGCGAACGCTCCTGTGTCTCCCGGTCTGGGAAGGAGCCAGGGAAACAGCATGTTTAATAGTTTAAGGCCTGGCGTGGTGGCTCACGCCTGTAATCCCAGCACTTTGAGAAGCCGAGGCGATGGATCACCTAAGGTCAGGAGTTCGAGACCAGCTTGACCAACATGGTGAAACCCCGTATCTATTAAAAATACAGAATTAGCCGGTCGTGTTGGCTCACGCCTGTAATCCCAGCTAATTGGGAGATTAAGGCTGGAGAATCGCTTGAACCCGGAGTCCGAGGTTGCAGTGAGCAGAGATCGCGCCATTGTACTTCACCCTGGGCAACAAGAGCGAAACGCCGTCTCAAAAAAAAAAAAAAAAAAAAAAAAAAAAAAAAAAAAGGTAGTTAACAGTACATTCTGGTGGGGGGATGTTGACAAGACACACTTTGCGAGACGCTGCTGTGTATTTTATAGAAGGCGCAACTGAGGTCCAGAGGGGTCCCAACACCTGGACAAAGTCTCTTGATGAGTTGCCAAATAAAGTCAGGATTCGCACCAGGAAAAGAGCGGCCCCTGGGGTCTGGCTGCCACTCAGCTGGCCCCCTGGTGGGCTCGGCCACTGACCTAGGTAGGGTCACGACACTGGGACTGGACCCCAAAGTTGGACCTGTCTTCAACACTGGAACCCGCCTTCGCACAGCTCCACCCGGCCCCCAGGCTAAGATAGACCACGCCCCCGGACATCTGGTCCCCGCCCGAACACACAGGCCCATTGGTGACACGCCTCCGTTCCGGCAGGCTACTGGGCTCTGCCCACACACCTACCAGGCTCGCTTCCTAAAAGCTAGCTCGGAGCAATCCCCTTGGGCTGGAGCCAAATCCCTGATGTGATTTTAAGGAAGACCAGCAGGTCCGGGTCTCCAGGGGTCAACCCCACATACATCCCCCGCACTTTCCTGCATGTAGGCCTGCGGGCGTAGAGGGCGTGGAATTCACAGCCTCCCCACCCATCCGCAGGGGTCTCCTGGGAGGAACCCACAGGCGATGGGAACCCTGAAGCTGGGCTACGGCGTCCGCCCGAGCCTTTTCTTAAATGCGCCAACCCCGGAAGCGGGGCATCCAAGGGAGCGAGCGACGGGCCACGCACGTCCTGGCGTTCAGTACGGGGCAGCTTCTCCGGCTGGTGGGAGGGTGGGGAGCCTCTCAGGCAGGTATGCACGGGAGGTGGGGATCGGAAGGGGATGTTTCGACTGCAACCGCCTGGAGACCTGGCCGGTCCCATTCTCCATAGTGCAGATGGGGAAACAGGGTTGGAGGGAGGGGACCCGGTCTGGGTCGTTAACAATGCAGTGTGTAGCTGTGAGGGAATTTACACCTCTGACTTCGGGCCTTGGTTCCTGGGACAGCGTACTGGTGCACAGAGCCGCTTCTGGAGTCTGGTGGACTTGGGTTCGTGTCTTGCCTGGGACAGTTTCTTTTTCTCTCTCTCTCTCTCTTTTTTTTTTTTTTTTGGAGACGGAGTCTCTCTCTGGCACCCAGGCTGGAGTGCAGTGGCGTGACCTCGGCTCGCTGCAACCTCTGCCTGCTGGGTTCAAGCAATTCTCCTGCCTCAGCCTCCTGAGTAGCTAGGACTACAGGCGCGCGTCACTATGCCCGGCTAATTTATTTATTTATTTATTTATTTTGAGGCAGAGTCTTGCTCTGTCCCCCAGGCTGGAGTGCAGTGGCGCAATCTCGGCTCACTGCAAGCTCCGCCTCCCAGGTTCTCGCCATTCTCCTGCCTCAGCCTCCCGTGTAGCTGGGACTGGAGGCGCCCGCCACCGTGCCCGGCTAATTTTTTGTATCTTTAGTAGAGACGGGGTTTCACTATGCTGGCCAGGCTGGTCTGGAACTCTTTTTTTTTTTTTTTTTTTTTTTTTTTTTTTTTTTTTTTTTTGGAGACGGAAAGTGCCAGGCTTTGGGTGCAGTGGCGGATCTCAGCTCACTGCAGCTCCGCCTCCGGGTTCATGCGGGCTGCTCTCCTCAGCCTCCAGTAGCTGGGACTACAGGCTTACGCCTGCCTTGTTTTTTGTAGTTTTAGTAGAGACGGGGTTTCACCGTGTTATGGATGGTCTCGATCTTCCTGCACGGCCTGGTCAAGCCATCCTGGCCTCCCAAAGTGGGATTATGCAGCTTGCGACCACCCCACAGCCTGTGGTCTGGAACTCTTGTGACCTAAATGATCCTAACCCTGCCAGGCCTCCCAGAAAGTGCTGGAATTACAGTGACCTGGCAGCCAACTTTACTCAGTTTTTTTTTTTTTTTTTTTGAGACGGAGTCTTGCTCTGTCGCCCAGGCTGGAGTGCAGTGGCCGGATCTCAGCTCACTGCAAGCTCCGCCTCCCGGGTTCATGCCATTCTCCTGCCTCAGCCTCCCGAGTAGCTGGGACTACAGGCGCCCGCCACCTCGCCCAGCTAGTTTTTTTTGTAGTTTTAGTAGAGACGGGGTTTCACCGTGTTAGCCAGGATGGTCTCGATCTTCTGACCTCGTGATCCGCCCGTCTCGGCCTCCCAAAGTGCTGGGATTACAGGCTTGAGCCACCGCGCCTGGCCGGTCTGGAACTCTTGACCTCGTGATCCGCCCACTTCGGCCTCCCAAAGTGCTGGAATTACACAGGCGTGAGCCACCGCGCCCAACTTACCTGGGACAGTTTCTACCTAAGTGACGTTGGGCAAGTCGCTTCCCTTCTCGGACCCTACTTGTATTTGAAGATGTGGCACTTAGCAGGTGCTCAATAAATGCTAGTTTGGACTTTTATCTGGAAGCAAAGGGGACCACTGATTTTAAACCTTCAGTTAAACTTGCTTGTGACATCTTTAAATATAAAATTGTAAATTTTTTAGGTGGCGGTTTACACTAATGTCCTGGATTATGGGTCAAATTAGGAGGAAATTTTCAGCATATAAATCCATGAGAGTACACACAAAATGTCAGATTCAAAGCTCCCAATCAAAGGCAATCATCTGCCCCTTGTAACATCAGTTAAGATCGTGTAACATCTAGTCTCTACTGTGTGTTGAGCTGCCTCCCAGGTCTTGGATATTCATAGTCTAATGTTTTGCTTGCCATGGGTTTGGTGTGATTTTCTCCCATCTTACGGATTAAGAAAGTGAAATTCAGAAATAATGACTTGCTTAAGATCACACACACTAGGTTAGACACAGATCTATCCTATCCCCAAATATGTGCCCTAACCTGCCACCAACCCATTTATTAGCAGACTGAGCCATGGGCTCAGCCCATTCCAGCTAAAAATGTGAAGAAAACGTAAGTGGCAGGCCGGGCGCGGTGGCTCAAGCCTGTAATCCCAGCACTTTGGGAGGCCGAGATGGGTGGATCACGAGGTCAGGAGATCGAGACCAGCCTGGCTAACACGGTGAAACCCCGTCTCTACTAAAAAAATACGAAAAACTAGCTGGGCGAGGTGGCGGGCGCCTGTAGTCCCAGCTGCTCGGGAGGCTAAGGCAGGAGAATGGCGTAGACCCGGGAGGCGGAGCTTGCAGTGAGCTGAGATCCGGCCACTGCACTCCAGCCTGGGTGACAGAGAGAGAGTCCATCTCAAAAAAAAAAAAAAGAAAACATAAGTGGCCAAGACAAGAATGATCAGATAGGTGGGTGAGGCTCTAAATGGAGTCAAGGGGGTGTCAGCAAGAGCACAACTATTCTCAGGCAATGTATTGGTAGAAGGGGGGGTGTCATACAAGGCTCACCTGCTTTCCTGGTTCCTTTCACTCCCAGAGTGGCAACCAACTATATCTGAGGACCAGAGCCCCATTTTGGGGCACCAGAACTTGTGACCTCTCCATCTCCACCCGGCTGGGTCCAGGGGCCACTCTCAGCACCCACCTCAGCAGCTGACATAAGGCAGACTTGGGAACCTGGAAGCACTCTGGAGAACCTTTTCCTGAGACATGGAGCTTTGGGGCCGTATGCTCTGGGCCCTCCTGTCTGGCCCAGGGAGAGGGGGAAGTACCCTCGGCTGGGCCTTCAGCTCATGGCAACCCCAACCACCTCTGGCTGGGTTATCCAGTGCCACAGAACTGGTCAGCCACTGGACTAGGGTCTTTGAGAAAAGAGGTATCCCTGAGGCCCGGGAATCCAGTGAGTACATCGTGGCTCATGTCCTTGGAGCCAAAACAGTTAAGTTCAGTGTTGTCAAGAGGACAGGAAGAGGGAGGAGGGAGGACTTTGGGAAGAGATATCCAGGTTTTCTGTTCACTAAGAGTTCTTAGCTGAGACTGATGGGATTTTTCTGAAGGAACGTCTTAGCACCTGGCACACACTGTAACAGTTTGTTGGATGAATGAATAAATCTCTGCCTAAGTATTCTGGGATAGACACCCGGAGGCCTGGTATTAGCTGTGTAACCTTGGGCAGGATGCTGCCCCCTCTGGGCACAGATGATGAGAGTGTTGGGCCTCTAGACCAGTGCTAGGCAGGCATTATCCACATAAGACACCTGGGTTGGGGCCCCTGGGCCCAGTGAGCCAGCCACTTACATTCTCTGTGGGGACAGTTTCAGAGCCTGAGGCCAGCACTTTGGACCCAGCCCTTGACCTCTCAGCAACTACAGTGTATCCAGGAGCTGAGTAGCCGTCGATTGCAGAGGTGAGCACCCATGGATCAGACCTGAAGGATGTGTTTGGGGAGCAGCAGTCCAGCTTCCCCTATCCCCACCAAGTTCAGGGAGGAGGAGAATGTCCAAGGACTAAGGAGGTGTTAGGGTGCAGGGGTGGCAAGAGTGGGGCTGGGGTAGTGAATAGAAGAAGGGAGGGAGGGAAGGCTTTGCCTCAGGAGTCCCAAGGCCCTGGAGACATGGTCTTGCCTGATGCCCTTGGCCACAAGTGGTATCTCTCAACCCAGGCATGGTCCTGTTGGTCCTGGCTCTGTCAATGATGACCACCCGGCTGCCCCCTCTGCAGGATGCCGGTGCAGTACATCCTTGGAGAGTGGGACTTTCAGGGGCTCAGCCTGAGGATGGTGCCCCCAGTGTTTATTCCTCGGCCAGAAACAGAGGTAGGTGTGCCACCAGGGCAAGGCAGGATCAGGATGAGGGTGGAGTTCAGGGTACCGGTCTTACCCCAGGCTTCCTCCAGGGGGCACTGGGGCCCCATGACTTCAGGGACATTGCCTTTCTAGACACGTATCTTCTCGCTGTCTGTGGTGGCAGAGCCCAGAGGACAGGATTCCTGTTGGTCCCCTTGACTGTCATGTTCCAAGCTACCACCGCAGCCTCTAGGTCTGGCAATGTCCCAGAGTGCCTCAAATAGTGCTGCCTGAGTACTTAGACTGTTCCGCTGTTTCTCTGGGAGCTGTCCCATGGCTTACCCAACCCACAGGGAACAGTGTCCTCCAGCAGCTTCTCAGGAGGCATAGAGGAAGTGGAGAGGGCTCCAGCTGGACACCTGGAGACCTGGTATCAGCTGTGTGACCTCGGGCAGGTCACTGCCCTACTGCCCTCTCTAGGCCCAGTTGATGAGAGGGTTAGGCCTCCAGACCAGAGAATCTGGTCTACTGACTGGTCTGGTAATCACCCGTGTTGTCCCTCAAATTACTAGGACTAGGGATGTGCGGCGCAAGTGTGCTATCCCTTGGTAAGGCACCCTGGTCCTGGAAGAGACGCTTTCTATGGACCTTCTTGGACTCCCCTCTGACTTTGTAGGTGGCAGAGCTGGGAGCCAGAGGGTGCAGACCAGGGAGTACAGCTGAGTGAAAGCTGGTGGGCAAGTCAGAGGGCGGCACGTTCTGAGAAGGAATGTTTCTAGAAAGACCCAAGCACACAAACATTTCTGGGAAAGATTCCCATTCCCCTGCCGTGGCCAGGGGTCCCAAACCCTTCCTTCACTTTCCCAGCCTCTGTCCCCTAGCCAAGAAACTCTCTGACCCCTCTCCCCTCCATATCATGTGGTTGGGAGGCCAGGTCCTTGCTTCACTGCCCAGTGTCAGGGCAGGGACAGTAGGGAATCTGAGGCCTTGCTGAAGTCACAGGGCTGTCAAGGAAGGGAGCATGAGGGCAGCACTTGGACTTCCTGACTCCCAGGTCAGAGCCCCATCCCTCTCGTGGTGGCTCCCCTATCTGGGATTGGCATGACCTAGGACACAGTATGGAGACCCAGAGCAAGGTGTGGCCTGCCACCTGCAGGCCTTGGGAGGCTTACCTGTGGCTCTCAAAAACATGATCTCTGGCGAAGAGATCATTTGCTGTCTCCAGCTGCCCAGGGTCAGGGCATGGTGACCTTTGAGTTCCTTCAGAGCTGACCTGGCACCAGCCATATGTGCCAGGGTTCTGAGTATCAAGTGTGGACTTTGGCTCCCATGTGGCCCCTGATTCTTAGATTGGTCTGGGCCAAGAGAGCAGCTCTACTGCAAGGGGTGGGGTGAGGGGAGATGCTGCGATTGGGAGGCCAGGTGCTCACCTCACTGTGCAGACATTTCTGAGAACTCACCAGGTTCACCCCATTGTAAAGCCACATCGGGGGATGTCTTACCAAGAACTCAAGAGGACGTGGCCTGTGGCAGGGAGTGGTGAGAATGGGTGCAGAGGATGGTGTCTGATGAAGGAGGAGTCTGAAGTGCAAACTTGCAGGAGGCATGTGACCCAGTGAGTTGGATTTTTCCTAGGGGTGAGAAGGTGGTTCAGCTTCTGGCCTGGCAGTGAGTACAGTAGGAAACTCAGGGCTGGGGGTGTGAACCATTCTCACCTGGCCTGCTGTGAGGCTGTACAGGTTGTGGGAGGATCAGTGTTTTGTCTGTGATTGACTCGAAGGAGGCAATGCCACCTCCTTGGGTCTGCTCCACCAGGGATGCCATCCTAATAGAGGGTACTTGTGGGCACTCAGGTTCTGCTGAGGCCTTGGGCCAACCTCTTGATGGGGTATGAAGTCCATGTTGGGGCAGCAGTTCTAGGCAGAGCCAACAACTGCCTGCCCCTCACCTCCTTCCTGCATGCCCCTGCGCCCCATCCTGTTCTTGAGATTCTTTCCATATTCACCTGGGGGGGGTGCCTTGAGCCTGTGACCAGCTTGGCTTTTAGTCTCCCTGAAAGAGCCACCAGCGTCAGGCTGAGGGAGGCTCTTCACTGGGTGGAGAAGAGAAAGTTTCTGGACTTCTTGTGCTGTTGTCTACCCCTGCCCCAAGTGGCCCTACAACCAAGATGAGCCTCCTGTGCTCTGGAGTATTATGGCAAGCAAGAGGCCACTAGCGGTGGCAGGGGCTCAGTTTCTCAGCTTCTCACCCTCCCCAAGGTGGCCATCCACATATGTGGTGTGTGTCTTTGAGGTCTTTGAGTATCTCTGTGAGGTGACTGGCCAGTGTGGCTGACTGAGGGGTCATTCCCCAGCCAGAGTAGGTCTATGGCCAGGAAACCAAGAAAGGCTCACACACCTGATAAGTCCTGGTCACCCTGCCAACCTCTCAGCGTGTGGCCTCACCACTGAGACCACAGGCTCTCAGCCACAACCCTACACTGCTCACTCTGTACCTGTCCCAACCCTGCAGGCCCAGCTTGCCACAAGTACCCTAGTGGTCTCCGGTAGTGCCTAGCACAGGGCTGGTGAGAGCTAGTGAATATATGTCCTCTCCTGCTGGAGCTGGGCCCCCTCACCCACAGGCAATCATTTGTTTGGTGCAGAAGAGGCTTGGAACAGGGAGGTTTGCACCTGCTGGTCAAGTTCTGCCTGGCTTGGACTTGCCATCCTCAGGGTGGGTGAACATTGTTCCTGGGGTTGGGGGCCTGGAAGGGTGAGATGCTTTTTGGAACCCAGCACTGGGGAACTTATGTGGAAAATGGGTGTGAGTGATCTGGAGCCCTCTGCTCCATTGGGCCTGGCTGATGGCACTGGGGTGTTGGGGAGACCTGGCAGTGTGAGACGCAGAGGGTGGTGCCACAGAGAGTTTGCCCAGCACTTAGAAAGTAGCCAAGAGGGTCGGGTGCCATGGCTCACACCTGTAATCCCAGCACTTTGGGAGTCCGAGGCGGGCAGATCACCTGAGGTTGGGAGTTCGAGACCAGCCTGACAAACGTGGAGAAACCCTGTCTCTCCTAAAAATACAAAATTAGCCAGGCATGGTGTTGCATGCCTGTAATCCCAGCTACTCGGGAAGGCTGAGACAGGCGAATCGCTTGAAACTGGGAGGCGGAGGTTGCGGTGAGCCAAGATTGCGCCGTTCTACTCTAGCCTTCCAGCCTGGGCAACAAGAACGAAACTCTGTCTCAAAAAAAAAAAAAAAAAAAAGAAGAAAGAAAGTAGCCAAGAAGTCTGTCTGTGGGCCAAGCCCTGCCAGTGTGGGACACACTGCGATGAGTCGGACCTCAGGTCTTCCCGATATGGAGTCTGGTGGGAGAGGCACACCGCATCCTTAGGCTAGACCTTAGGCTCAGGGTGGGGAAAGCCACGGTAGAGCCTGGCCCAGGCTTGAGGAAGGCTTTATGGAAAAGGTGGTCCTCTTTTCAGATCAGGGAAGCACCCACTTGCTGCCCACCATCCCTAGCTCCCTGAGCCAGTCTTTCCTGAGACCTGGGGTCCCAGGAGTTCTGACCCTCTGGGAAACATTTTGGCCATTGGACGGTAGGAGCCTTCCACCCTTCACCCCTACCCTATGTTGGTTTGCAGGCATAGTCCTCGCAGGCAGTGGCTGGGTAGGCAAGGCTTGAAACCCTCTTGTTTCCAAAGTGGCAATGTCTGAAAATGTCCTCCTGCTGCCAGGGCAGGCACCTCCCTCTGCACCCATGCCTGTTGAGCTATGCCTGTGTATGCCACAGCCCTCAGGTCCTTAGTCAGGACCATGTTCCCCCATGACCCATCTTCTCCAAAGGAGGGAATTCCCTGTCCCTTTGGCCTAGGAGCCTCCCTGGGGCCTCTCAAGCTCAGCTCTGTCACACCAGCTCCTGATTCTTGGCCACCATGAACCACAGGCTAGGCTCAGGTGGGGCCTTGACCCCAGGCCTCAGTTTCCTCATGGGACACTTGTGAGGATTTAACAGATTAATACAGGAAAAGCTCTGGGAGCAGGGTCAGGCCAGAGGGAGTGGCCAGGAACTATCAGATACAGTTCTTGAGATGGAGTGTTGCTCTGTCTCCCAGGCTGGAGTGCAGTGGCACGATCCTGATCCAACGCAACCTCTACCTCCCGGGCTTAAGCAGTTCTCCCGCCTCAGCCTCCTGAGTAGCTGGGACTAGAGACATCCGCCACCATGCCCATGCCCGGCAAATTTTTGCACTTTTAGCAGAGATGAGGTTTCACCATGTTGGCCAGGCTGGTCTCAAACTCCGAACTCAAGTGATCTGCCCACCTTGGTCTCACAAAGTGTTGGGATTATAGGCGTGAGCCACCGTGCCCAGAATGGGAGGATGTCTGTAAAGGGCTTAGCTGGGGTTGATTAAACACTTAACATGACACAGGTGTGGATTAGCTCATTTAATCCCCACCATATCCCCATGAGGTGGGCTATCCTCAACTGGGCTCAGTTGTACAGATGGGGAAGCTGAGGCGTGGAGGGGCAGGGTGACTTGGCCATGGCCCAGCTGACATGAAGGTTAGTCTGGCTTTGGCTACCTCCCCTTCCTACGTTCACAGGGGTAACTGCTTAGGCCTCTGTACCAACACCCCCAGGCACCAACTCTGATCCAGACCCCTCTGCTTCACAGGAACTGGTTGAGTGGGTGCTGGAAGAGGTGGCCCAGAGGTCCTATGCTGTGGGATCCCCAGGCAGCCCCCTCATTCTGGAGGTAGGCTGTGGATCGGGAGCCATCTCCCTCAGCCTGCTGAGCCAGCTCCCTCAGGTGAGCCTCTCCACCCACTCTGGATAGACTGTGACTGACACTCACTGCCCCTCCCATTAGTGCTTCCCCCACATCCCTCTGCTAGGAGCACTTGAGGGGAAGCAGCTAGATGAGGGAGGACAGGGCTGCCCCTAGCCCACTGTGGTTCACAGACTCTAATGCCTACCACATCTATCTGGCTAGATTTTGGCCAAGAAGAAAAGGCTGTTGGGTATTTCCCTTCTCTTCTGGTGGGGGGTTGGAGGAGGGTCTCCCAGGCCCAGTATCTCCCAGCATCTCTCAGCATTGCCTTCCACATATCCTCTGTTTGTTCTTGGGACAGAGCCGAGTCATTGCTGTGGATAAGGGGGAAGCTGCCATCTCTCTGACCCATGAGAACGCTCAGAGGTAGGTAGGGGAGTTGCACTTTGGGGCCTGATCTTGACTCCTTTTCAGGTTTCAAACTCACTAATGTCTGATTTCTCCTGCCAAGAAGGAGGAAGCAGTGGGGTAGCCTGGCATGGGTCCCATGGGGTTCTGAATGGGTAGTGGGCAGTGAGTATCTTGCCGGTCCAAGAAAGGTTGACTACAAGACCTCATTCTTGTAGTGAAGGGTAGGGATCTGCCCCCGTGCCCACCCCTTTCTCCCTGTCTATCTAGGCTTCAGTTGCAGGACAGGATTTGGATCATCCACCTCGACATGACCTCAGGTACCCTCCCCTGAATGTTCCTTAACATAGGGAGACTAGATACAGGTGCTGCTGGGTGGATGAGGCACTCCGTGGACATGGAGGGAGGGCTTCCCCAAAAGCCACACAACCACACACATGAACACACACAAATGTGTGTGTGTGTGTGGTTGTGTGTGGCAGTTCAAACGAAGCCTTGGCTGAGGACAGACAAGTTGCTTTTGCCTCCTAGGCTGACCTGACCCATAAGGGTCAGGTCAATGAATTCCTCATAACTAATGAGTTAAGGGCTTGCTTGTTGGCAACAGATAAGCAAAAGCTTAAAATAATGCCTTCAGGACCAAAATACTTGAGTGCCCCTCTCCCCCTGCCTGGCCTGGGAAGAAGCGATCCAGGCACTGCACAGCTCAGCCATAGCCTTTACAGTGTCTCTGGGCCTCCAACTCCAGTTCTGGCTCCATTGCCTTACCCATGGGATCCTTGAGCCTCATGTGCCCCCTCCATGGAGTGTGATATACTTGGTGTAGCACCCGGCACAGGGTGAAACCAGTAGTCAGAGCCATCAGGAGTTGGCTGATGAGGCCAGGCCCAGCCTCCATGTACTCTCAGTCCATGTTGCCTATAAGGCTGGTGGAGCTACAGAAGAGAAAGGCTCTTTCCTGCCTAGGCAATCAGGAAGGACGCCCTGGAAGTGGCACTTGAACGGAGTCTTGAGGATTTTTGGCAAGGACACTCTACGTCTTGAAATGAAGGGCTGCGATGTTAAAGCATGCACATTCTCCACCAGGCTGTCAGCTGAGGTCCCTGGGCACTAATTTGCAGGTCTGACTTATCAGATCCAGTGTCAGGCCCAAGGTGTGGCGTGATAAGAGGGACATAGTGGCAGGGGGAGCTACCATCCTTTACCTCCCAATGGGTTAGTCCCTACTGTGTGTCCTCTTCTTTGACGACAGAAAGGAGCTGGACACACCTGCCCTGGGGCCCTGTGGACCTGGTCGTCAGCAACCCTCCCTACATCTTCCACCAGGACATGGAACAGCTGGCCCCCGAGATCCGCAGGTGCTAAGCAGGGTGGGCCAGGGAGGCCAGGCCTGGAAAGGCCTAATGGGATTAGTCTGCCCTCGAGGACCACATCATCTAGAGGGACAGGGGAGTTGGTGCTGAAACAGGCAGTGGTGTTACGTGGACGCACTGGAGAGCCCACAGTCCTACCTAGATTCAGCATCTGCCTCCCTACTTAAGGCTACTGAACAGCCACCGAACCTCTCTGGGCCTGTTTCCTGCCTCTGAAAAAAGGGAGGTAGTGCTCTGCAGGGCCATAGGAGGACTCAGTGACGACTTGAAAGCATCAAACACAGTGGAGGACTCATAGGGGGTGCTTTGTAGATGGGCACATCATTTTATAGAATACTGAGGCCCAGCGAGGGAAGGTGTCTTGTCTGTGGTCACATGGGGGCTCGGTGGGAAAGCTGGGACTAAAACTTGGCCCCAGGCTAGCTTTGCGCCAGGTGATCCTGCTCTTACACAGGGGCTGAGAACCAGGGGCAGCCCAGGAGTCCTGGATGGGACAGCAGTCATGTTGGATGGGATTGGGGTGTTGGCCCTCCCTTTCTGGGCTCTCAGGAGTGGTCAGGGCTAGCCCCAGATCTCCCAAACCAAGAAAAGGAGCAGCCTTGTGGGGAGACATTCATGCCCTGACATGAGTCAGTCCATCAGGAGAGGCCATCAGCCAGTGGGATTCAGCAAGCACGCCTGGCACTGCCTGGCAGGGTGCTGCCCATGAGAGGAAGGGAAGAGAAGCTGCCACCCATTTGGGACCCTCCTTCTCTGGGTCCTCAGATTTGCCCTTCAGTCTAGAGTGTAAGTTCCACAGGGCCCCATTTGTGGAGGCTCTGCCCACACCCTCCATGCATTTCAGATACCCCTTCCTCAGGCTGTCACCTCCTACTGCTTTCCCTTTCAGCTATGAAGACCCTGCGGCCCTGGACGGTGGGGAGGAGGGCATGGACATCATTACCCACATCCTGGCCCTGGCACCCCAGCTCCTGAAGGACTCTGGGTATGAATGGGATGGGTCTCCTAGGTCTGTCCCCAGCAGCCTCCACTGCTCCTAATGTGTACTGGGCAGGCCCTGGCAGAGATGAGCACAGGACCCTCACCTCACCAGCCCAAGCAGCCCAGAAGGGCAGGCCCCAGACCTGTCCTACTGAGCCCACCCATTTCTCCCCCATGTAGTAGTATCTTCTTAGAAGTGGACCCAAGGCACCCGGAGCTTGTCAGCAGCTGGCTTCAGAGCCGGCCTGAACTGTACCTTAATCTTGTGGCTGTGCGCAAGGACTTCTGTGGGAGGTGAGCTCCTACCCCTCTTTAGCCCTGTAGCATGCTGGTCTTTCCACTGGGGCCATCCTCAGCCCTGGCTGTCAGGAGAGTGTGCTGTTCCCACTCCCTGCTCATTCCCCGAGGCCCAGGTGGTAACCAGCCCCTATCCCTGTCTCCTCAGGCCCCGGTTCCTGCATATCCAGAGGTCTAGGCCATAGTGTGGCTGCCCTGTGGATGCCTTGTCAGTGGCGCCAGCCTGACCGGAGGGAGGTGGATGGCACTTTCCAGAACCCAAGTGCTTATGGCATTTCCCAAGGTTCTGTGATTTCCCCATGCTCTGCATTTCTAGGATATTTCTAGGACACCTGGGTAGACCCAAGTTCTCAGTCTGGCTCCATCACATCAGGGTGGCTGAGGGCAGTTGCTGTGTGTTGGTGAAATAGATGTGGGAGTATTGGGGGATATGGCCAGTAAAGTATTGAGAGACTAACAAATGGTGACCTAATGATTTGTTCCATGACTTGCAGGTCACCTGACCCCTTACTCCCAGGTAGCGCCAGGGTGAGAGTTTCCTTCTGCCCCAGCAGGGCTGGCCGTCAGTCCCCTGCTTGGTAGGGGTGTGCGGGTGCAGCGTGGAGGAAGGCACGTGAGTCCTCACTCCTGGCCTTGGATACCATGGGGCCTGGTGTAGAGCAGCTCACTCGCGGGGACTGATCAGTCCTCCACTGCCCTGGGTGCATGCGAACACACTTCCCTGGCCAAGCCTGGCTCAAGCACAGGAAGCTCATCTGCATTTCAGCTCAAGGATGACTGCCTGCTTTCTGGAGGGGAGGGCCTGGAGGTCCTTGCTGCACAGTTCCTGGGTCACACATCCACATTCATTTAATGGAAGGCTTGAGCCGTGAGGGGTGTTTCCTTTTTATCCCCATAGCTTTTAACTAAAACATCCCTTCTGAGTTGACCCCCTGGGGTTTCAAATAACCCATGTGTACCTGGTTGGGGCTGGGGAGAGTGAGAAACTGAGATACTGGGCACAGGATTGTGGCCTCCACCCCAGCTCTGGTCTGTGCAGACTCATGGCCACCAGGAGGCCTGCAGATCCAGCCTTCCTATCAACAGTGACAGGAAATCTCTAGGTTGGTGAGTACTGGTGGTGTGAGCCTGCTTCAGGGTGGGTCCTAAGGAACATGGCAAACCAGGCTGGCTCATTCCACTAGACTGCCCCCTGCCACTCCAGCACTTCCCAGGGCCTGGCAGTATGGTCTGATGGGCAGTGTGGTCCGATGGGCAGCATCCTTTGCTGCAGCCAGGAGAGCTGAGTTCCAAGGCTGTGTCCTGCAGTGGGACCTTGGGCAGCTCCTTTCCCTATAAGAAGCTGGCTCTTCTGAGTCCAAGGTTAGCGCCAAGTGGCAGCCTCTTTCCTCTTAGCCAAGTGGAATGTGCATGCTGGCATCTGAATGTCCATTCTCCAGGCAGAGAGAACAAGAGAAGGTGTGAACTGCCTGAGGTCCCATGATAGTGGCCAAGTGGAGATAGTAAGTTAGATCCGTCCCTTTGGGGAGCCTGTATTGCTGGAGTCACACCCAGCCTAAGTGTCGCCCTGCACTATGGCTGGAGGACGCATTTGGCAGAGGTCACGCTACAGCTCCCAGTGCCCCAGTGGCCTGCCCCATGCCCAGCCCCAGCTGCATGAACCTTGAGCTGCCCCTGGCTTCCTTTGAAGAGGCTGCTCCAGAAGGAACTCGGGTTGGGAGGCGAAGGGGTGCACAACCAGGGCGAAGCTCCCCACTCCCTGAGTCCCCTGTGCTCACAGACCTTTGCCTGCTAAGGTCCTCACCAGTGTTGCCCTTTCTGTCTTCCTCCCTGTGCCCTTTGGCTCTTGCTGTCTTCAGCAGCATCTCAGGGTAGTTGCCGTGACCTTAGTGCAGTCTATCATCCCCCACCCCTCAGCCAGTCCTGGCTTCCCTGATGGTCTCACCCTCCTGGCCTCAGGCCCATTCCTGAGGAAGGGCCTTGGCGAGCTTGTGGATGTTGCACCAAAAGAGAGTGCAGTGTTGGAGAGTGACAGTGTTGGGGCAGCTGGGGCCACAAGCAGGAGCGGCCCTCAGGGACAACTTTCTGCCCAGAAAAATGTGCAGCTTGACTCTGCTGAGGAAAAGGTCCAAGCCAAGAGGACTGGCAGGTGGGGCCTCAAGCCTGCAGCCACTGGCTTGATTGGGCCCTGGACACTGAGCCCTGATGTTGTAGCCACACCAGCCTGGATTTCAATCCCAGAATCTGCCCCTCACCACAATGTGACCTTGGGCAGATGACTTCACCTCACTCAGCCTTGGCTTCTAAGACTGAGAAATGTGACTAAATGCTTTATTTCATAGGATGCGTGTGAGGAGCCCATGGAAGGTGCCTGGCTTGGCACATTGTGGCATTTTTTCTCGCCTTCCTCAGAGGGCAGACACAGGGAGGAAGGACCTGGTGCTCTCAGGCATCCATCTGATGCTTGGGACCAACATAAGGCAGGCAGGGATACAAGGCAGTCTGGAAAGAAAGGTAGGCAGGAGTTTCAGTCTTGGGCTCTTGACTCCTCATTGTTGTCTAGAGATGGAGCCAGCAGGCTGGTAGCCTGGCAGCCCACATCTCCCCTCAGCCCCTCCTCACTATGGCCCCAGTGCCTTGAGGCCCAGGCCAGGGCAGCCAGTGGCTCCAGCTCAGGGAAAGCCAGGCTCACCTGCCCTATCCCCTCCCTTGCTCCTGAGGCCAAAGCCAGAGACTCGAACTACCTCCCCACCACCACCAGCATATGTCAAGGAGCACTTGCAGGCAGAATGGGAGGAGGACATGGAGCTGATGCCGGAGTCCAGGCTGTGCAGGCCCCTGAGGTCTTGAGAGATGTGCCTACTGCCCATGCAGCCTCCTTCAGCCAGAGCCCAGAGCACAGACAGGAGTGTAGGAGTCCCTGTTTGATGTACTCTGGGAAAGTAATTCTATCTCCTCTTCTGATAGTTGGGGAAACTGAGGCCTTATCTCACAGTTGGATGCTTTTCCCAGTTGTCAATGGGTTTCTCCATGGGTCTCATCCGGCTGCCTTATTGAAATATGCCTCCAACCCTGTAAATGCAAGAAATCTACTCTTTTTGGCTCCTTTACCACCACCTGGGCCCTGGGCCATTGGCTGCTCCCAATCCCTGCCCCAAACACTTAGCTGGCTCCCCATGACTTAAGTGTGTTCTCTTGTGTCCTATGGAATCCAGTTCTGAAGAGATGGGGGAGGACAACTGTGGGAAAAGCCCTGGGGGCCCTTCCAAGGCTCCATCTGTGCTCTGAGTAGGCTGCCATCAGAACAAAGGGTTCCACTGCTGACAAGGTTTGAGAACTGCTGGCTTGAGGTGGGAACCCCTTTAACCTCTGCGGGACAGCATGTCTTTCCCTATCCACCTTCGATTCTTTTCTCTCTTCATTGGCTCCTTCTTAGTGGATTCTTTTCTCTACTGCCCTGGGCTTCAGCCTTTGTGCAGCACTGTTGATGCCCTGAACACACACCTTCCCTCTGCCCAGGCAGTGCAAACGATCCACTTCTTCAAGCTCCAACACAAATGCTGCTTCCTTTAGGACACCTGCTCTGTGCTCTCCCTGCCTCCCCTAGCTCATACCTCTGCTGGCACCAATGACCTTCTGTACCATGCCTTCAGAAACCTTATCCCCCTCATCTCTGGGGCCCCCTGTGGATCTGGCATACCCAAGTTCAGTAAATGTCTACCGGTAAGCTGATGGTACATGCATTTTCTAGAATAGAGCTGGGACTCCCCATGTGGCCCACATCTGACCTGGCGGCCCATGTATTCCGGTCATTAGGGAGAGGAAGCATGAGGACCTGGCCTTCTGCCCGACCCAGGCAGCCATTCAAGTTGAGCAGTGGCCACTTCGAATGCTTAAGTGCACCTGATCCCTGCGCGACAGCCATGCCAGGAGAACAGGCTGTCCTTGGCGGCAGTAGGAGCAGGCGCCAGGTTTCCTGGAGCTCTTGGCTTCAGCCAGCTCCCAGCCAGAGTCCTGGCTAGGGCAGAGACCTGATCTCCCCCTCATGACTTTCTACCTCGGACAAGCCCCCTGAACTGGATTTGAGACTGTCAAAGCAACTCTACCACTGCTTTGGTAGGCTGAACAGTGACCCCCCAAAATCGCAGTGTCTTAATCACCTAATCCTTAACATGTGACTATATTACCTTCACATAGCAAAATGGACTTTGCAGATGTGATTAAGGATCTTGAGATGGAAAGAGTATCCTGGATTTTTCAGGTAAACTGAGTATAATCACAAGGGCCTCTGTAAAGGAGGCAGGAGTTTCAGAGTGACGGAAGAAAATGTATGTAACAATGGAAGCAGAGGTCAGAGTGATGCAATTGCTGGAGGAAGAGCCATGAGCCAAGGAATGCAGACAGCCTTTTCTTCCCTGGGGCCTCAAGAAGAATGTAGTCCTGCCAACACCTTGATGTTAAGCCCTGTGAAACTGATTTCAGATTGCTGACCTCCAGAATAGTAAGATCATAGGTTTGTGTTGTTTTCAGCCACTAAATGTGTGATAATTTGTTACAGCAGCCATGGGAAATGAATACAGATTGTGGTGCCCAAATTAGTGCTGCTGTAACACATGCCTACTGACTGAAGTGGCTTTGGAATTGCAATGTGGAAATGGGCAGAGGCTGGAAGAATTTTGAGTCATGATAAATTGCCTTAACCACCTCTCTTCAGATAGGTGATGTGGCCCGGGGAACTCTTCCTCAACCTTCAGACCTAAACTGCCCAGGCTCCCCATTTTTTACTCTTATTTGGAGAGAGGTGGCCCTTTCTCACAGTGAGAAGAGTGGAAGACTGACCAGCATGGGTCCCAGAAGGGAGTGGGTGAGGAATGGTACTGGGATGTAGGGAGAGAGTGCAAGGCTGGCCTCCATGACCCATCTCCAGAGACTGGGTCCAGAGAGGACCTCAGAGACTGGGGCCAAGCCTGTTCCTGCTTTCCTGTGGAGTTAATATGACTGGCCCAGGACCCCTTGGGTGTGTGAGGATGAGCAGGGGCCCTATACTCTCTGGGTTGCAGGTACTGCATCTGTGAAATGAGCACAGCAGCCCCTGACTTTGAGGTAATGGGCCTGGCCCCTCCATGTAAGTCATAGGCCTGAGCAGAGCTGTGTCACCATTCTGTTCCTATGGTGAAATGGGGCTATCCCTGGGGTTCTCAACCTCCTGGTCCCTAAAACTGAAGTGGCCAACTGGTGCCCTCAGCCCTGTCCCTGTCCAGGCTGGGACTAGGACCTCCCTCTCCAGGGGTACTAAGGGACTCTGGAGACACTATCCCACCTGGCCAAGGCTTAGGGCTCCTGAGGCCAGTCCTAACCCAGGAGCCATATGGAGAACTACTGGGAAGCCAGACATGGGCCTCATGCTGGGTTTCAGAGCTGAGAAGCTAGGGGACAGGGAGCATGGACACCTGGGTTCAAGGGTCAGCTTGGCCCCAAATCATCTGGATACACTTTGGATGAAGCCAGGAGGGCCTGTTTATACTGGAAGGGGTGGATCTTGGCAAGACTTATGTTCAATCCCTGATCTTTTTGTCCCAGAGAGGGATGGGGCTTACTTGAAGTAACACAGCACTTGACTACTGACTCCCAGTGTGGTGCTCTCATCTACCATTGCTTCCAAGGGTCTGTGGTTAGTTAATTAAGTTAATTAGGTGGTGCTCATATGGCTGTCCTTGTAGCTACTAAACCCAGGGATTCAGGCCCATAAAGCCCTCTGGGCCAGGTTTATGGGCAGGTAAGAGCCACATTAGGCCAACTGTAGCCCCTGGGTGTGCAGACAGATCTGGGTCCCATCAGAAACTCTGGTAGCTGTGGGAGGAGAGCAGGATATCCCCCGCTTGCGGAATGAGTGGGCGCCTTCCCCTCTGAGGGAACTGACTGTACAACCCCCAGCCTCTTCCCTCCCAGGGCCCTCCTGAGGTGTCTGGAAGGACCTTTGGGATCTTTGGCCTCATAACCAGGAATCAGAAGCTTCAAATTCTAGGGGCCCCTTTTCTTCCAAAGACTACCTCTCACACATACAACGGTCCTGCAGGAAAATGGTCAGGAAAGGCCCAGTTTACAGCTCACAGAGTGGGAAAGGCAAGGAAGCCTACCTCAGCCTCACTGAAAGCCCTGAACTGGGCTGACCTCCACCTGCTCCAGCTATGCCTAAAGGGGGAGGGTGCGACAGCTCAGAGTAACTATGCTCCATGGTAGGCAGGCCTGGCTAAGTGGCCCCCTTCCCAGGGTCTGGAGTCTACCTCAGACACTCTAACTCTCAGAGCAGAGGATGTCACCTTTTTGCTCCGTCTTGTACTAGGTCTGCAGCCCTCTTCTGGGGCATGTGGCTGGGAAATGGTGGGATCAGATATCCCCTACTGAGCCCAGAGAGCAGATGGTTGGTACCTGAAACAGAGATCCCTGCACTACAGATGAGAAAATTCAGGCTTAGCAGGACAGGAGCAGAGTTGGGGCACAATCCCAGGTCTCTTCTCTGGCTCCAAGCTGCCAGTCTTTCCTTTGCCACCCGAAGACCCCCCACCCTGCCTTGCTTTCCAGGAACAGGCCTGCCTGCCTGGAGAGGCGGCCAAGTCCCTCTGCTGTTCCTGGAAGTCAGCGTGAGGCTGAGCTACATGACCAAGCAAAGCAAACTAGGACTACAGGTGCGAACCACCCTGCCTGGCTCATTTTTAATTTATTTATTTATTTATTTATTTATTTTGTAGAAACAGGGTCTCTTGATGTTGCCAGGGCTGGCACATGGGGTTTTTAATTGTCCCTACATTACAAAGTTGAGGACATCAAGGCTCAGCAGGATGCAGTTACGGATCAGGTTGCATAGCTAGACTGGAAGGGAGGATGAGGCTGCCATTGGTGCCCATTTGACTATCAGAGACACTGAGGCCAGCATAACTAGGTCCTGGGCTGTCCCCTACAGAGCTTAGTGCAGAAGTCACCTGGGCTTGTGGACCCTTGGAGCAGGAGCAAGGGTTTCCAGGGCTGTCCCTAGAGGGCTTTCTAGAAGACCTGCAGCTGCACCTGGGTGCGTCTCCTGAGGTATAGGGCCAACAAGGCCTCAGTCTCTCAAGACCTGCTATGTGTCAGGCACCAGGGAGATGATACCAAGTGGAGGGTCCTATAGAATATGGTGCATCCTGTGCCAAGTACTTCCAGGATTATCTTACTCAACCTTCATGACATCCTGAGAGATGGAGGCTGTGAACCCTCTCGTTATACCGACAAGGAAACAAACAGAGGGTCTAAGAAACTTGCTTGTATGCTGTCTGAGCTGTGATTCTGGCACAGGCTGAGTGACCTGGAGCTGGACGCCTTAGTCGTCACACCAGGCTTGAGAGGGGCGGATAGGACAGGAATATACCAGGCCGTAGGGACAGTCTGGACAAAGGCCTGGAGTTCTGCAGACACACGGGTAGGGATGTGTAGGGGTAAGCTGGTGCTGGGGGGTGCCCTTGGCTGAGCTCTGAATGCATTTCTGGGGACCAGGACCCTAAAGAGGTTTTTGAGCTGAGTTACAGAGTTAGAGAGGCATTGAGGCTGCTCTTTCTGGCTTCCAGGAAAAAGGGACTGGGGCAGGAGGCTGCAACTGTCCAGGGTCTGGAGGCTGCTGGGGTCTGTAGCAGTGGCATCAGATACTCTGGAACAGAACTGACTCAGCCATTGCTGAGGGGTTGGATGTGGGATGGCCAGGACCACAATGGGCCCAGGGCTCTGATTGGGATGTGGAGGAAATGGGGCCACCTGAGTTGGAGACGGGTGCTGGAGGGGGACAGTCGGGGAGCTTGACAGCATAGGATGCTTCCAGAATATCCGAGAGGCAGCATCGGAGTGTCTGGAGATGCAAATGTGACCATGTGGGGACACAGTCCAAAGGCAGCCCTTGAGGTAGAGTTGGGAAGAACACTCTCCTAGACCTGAGTGCTGACAACAGTACTGGGCACCTGCAGTATGTAAACTAGTGCCAGGTGCCGCACACACTTTGTCATAAATCTTTCTGTTGGCACATCAGGGATCCCTTCCTTGGCCCACTGTATGGATGAAGGGACTGAGGCTTAACCTGCCCAAGGCCACACAGCCAGCAACTGGCCATGCTGGAGTTTGAACCTAGTCCTCTGACGTCCCAGCCAGGAGAGGCGTGAGCAGGCTGCAGAGGCCAAATGCAGCCCAGAGCCTCAACCCCCAGAGGGGCCCCAGGAGCCAGTGAGGTGCCCCACAGCCAACATGGGCTCCAGAGTGAAGGGGAAAGTGATGAATCAAACAGAAAGCAGCAGATGCAGACTGAGCTCTCTCCCCGTCAGCCCGGGTGCCAGATTTTCACGCCCACAGCAAAGGGGCCAGGCAGAGCACTAGGTGTAGGGCAGGAGAGGGCAGCGAAAGTGGTTGCCACTGAACCCAGACTCATATACTCCGGATATGGGTGGCGCAGACTGACAGACACCCAGCCCAATTCCAGACTGAAAGTTGAGTCCATCTCAGCATGTGAGGATATGAAGTTTGCCTTGTCACGAGGAGCATTTCAGGTCCTTAGGCCTGTGAGGTTCTGGGATGAGGCACCAGATGCATATGTCTAAAAACCCTTGTTGAAGGCACTCCACAGCTCAAGAACTGACCATTGCTGCCTACTTTCTTGGCCCGCACTGAAAACCACTGTTTCTTCATCATTTTCCTCAGCCCTCCTGCCTCAGTCCCCCAGAACTTTGGAGCTCATTCTTTCAAAGCACGTTTCGTGTGCAACTCAAATATATATTTTTAAAAAGATAAAATGAGCATCTTGTTAGCATAAATGTATTTTGCAAATGCAAATTATTTCTCAGCATACAATCCATCAAGTCGAACAGCAATGAACACAAATGTTTGAACTGGGGGCTGGGATGGTAGTTGTAGTCTTATGTTGGTCTCAATGTCCAGTTTCTTTCAGTGTTTGATTTTGGTAGCACAGGATGAAGTGACCGCTGATTCTCACAAATAAGTGTTTACAAATGCTAGCACTATGTCTGAAGCCCACCTTGCAGTCTCTTTGATTGACAGGGACAGCAAGAGAAGCCTTATTTCAAGCTCAGCACAAACCCTGTTCTCTGAGTACATGGGAAGGATTTTAATGTGTCATAATTTGGTGCTGTGCCCATTTGAGTCTGTGCGTGGTTTTAAAAATTGGATTTTTTTTCAATAATTAAAAATATGAGCTGGGCATGGTGGCACATTCCTGTGGTCCCACCTACTTGGGAGGCTGAGGCAAGAGGATTACCTGAGCCCAAGAGTTTAAGACAGCAATGAGCTATAATTGTACCACTGCACTCCAGCCTGGACATCAGAGACAGACCCTGTCTCTAAAAAAATAATTTTAGACTGGGCACGGTGGCTCATGCCTGTAATCCCAGCACTTTGGGAGGCTGAGGCAGGCAGATCACTTGAGGTCAGGAGTTCAAGGCCAGGCTGGCCAACCTGGTGAAAACCCGTCTGTACTAAAAATACAAAAATTAGCCAGGTGTGGTGGCTCACGCCTGTAATCCCAGCTACTCGAGAGGCTGGGGCAGGAGAATCGCTTGAAACTGAGAGGCAGAGGTTGCAGTGAGCCAAGATCACGCCATTGCACTCCCACCCAGGCAACAAGAGCGAAACTCTGTCTCAAAAATAATAATAATAGGCCGGGCGTAGTAGCTCACATTTCTAATCCCAGCACTTTGGGAGGCCAGGGATCACAAGGTCAGGAGTTTGAGACCAGTCTGGCCAACGCAGTGAAACCCCATCTACTAAAAATACAAAAATTGGCCGGGCACGGTGGCTCACGCCTGTAATCCCAGCACTTTGGGAGGCCGAGGCAGGCGGATCACGAGGTCAGGAGATCGAGACCATCCTGGCTAACACGGTGAAACCCCGTCTCTACTGAAAAATACAAAAAACTAGCCGGGCGAGGTGGCGGGTGCCTGTAGTCCCAGCTACTCCGGAGGCTGAGGCAGGAGAATGGCTGAACCCGGGAGGCGGAGCTTGCAGTGAGCTGAGATCTGGCCACTGCACTCCAGCCTGGGCAACAGAGCCAGACTCTATCTCAAAAAAAAAAAAAAAAAAAAAATTAGCTGGGCCTGGTGGCGGGCTCCCATAACCACAGCTACTCAGAAGGCTAAAGCAGAATCGCTTGAACCTGGGAGGCAGAGGTTGCAGTGAGCCGAGATCACATCACTGCACTCCAACCTGGGCGACAGAGCTAGACTCCGTCTCAAAAAAATAAATAAAATTTAAAAATTATAGTAATTTTAAGAAATGTATGCAAAAAAGAGAGAAAGGGACTGCACACAGTGGCTCACGCCTGTAATCCCAGTATTTTGGGAGACTGAGGCGGGCAGATCAACTGAGGTCAGGAGTTCAAGACCAGCCTGGCCAACATGTTGAAACCCTGTCTCTACTAAAAATACAAAAATTAGCCAGACGTGGTGGCTCATGCCTGTAATCCCAGCTACTTGAGAGGCTGAGGCAGGAGAATCTCTTGAACCCAGAAGGCGGAGGTTGCAGTGATCTGAGAAAGGAAGAAGAAAAGAAAGAAAAGGAACTCCTGTGGGGTGGGGCATCTGGGGCACTTGATGCCCCACGTGACCATTCCCTTCCTGGAGGTCTGCCCCAACTGCTCCAGCCCCCATAGCCTGAGGCTCCCAGCGCCTCCCACCCAGCATCTGTCACAGCAAATGAATCTGGGCCACACGCTCCTGAAAGGTCCTGGGAGCCCCACCTGGTTCCAGTGTGGATGCTCCAAGTACTCCATCCCTGATCTGGGGCAGGGAAGAAAGCCCCGAGCAGTAGACATGGGCTAGGGACTTCCCCAGGCCCTTGGTGGTGCCTCCAAGGGTGGAAAGACTGGGGAACCTTGTGCCCCTGAAAGCCCAGAGTTTCACTGGTTCTGGGTACCTTCATTTCTGGGAACTGACTGTGCTTTGGAAAGAGAGAAATGAGAAGCAAAACCCTAGGGCCCCAGTATCACCCCTCCTTTCTTCCTTCCGCTTAGTCACAGCCAAGAGCTCAGTATCTGAGCCTCCCTTAGGGCCACTGGGTGGGGCAGAATTCAAGGTCAGGCCAGGACACAGCATCTGGGACGAGTCCTCCTTTCCTGCCAACAGCCTCCGTGAGGGGTCCTGGGATTGCTGAGGGCTGAGACTGCCTTCCCAAAGTTGGGAAAGGGGTAACTGAGGTTCTCATCTGACCTGTCTCACCTCCTACTTGCAGGCCCATCATTCCTGCATAGTCATTTATTAGGCACCAACTGTAAGCCAGGCCCAGGAGGTTGGATGGTTCAGGTGGGACCCTGTCCTTGCAGAACTTATGGACTTGCACATAGAGTCCTCCTGACAGGCCCCTCATGAGTGGCTGGGTCTTTATGAGTTTTCTGGTGAGCAATGGGGAGCCATGGGAGGCACTAGGCTCTGGGGAAGCCAAGCCACATCGCATGTACATAGCACAGAGACTCACACGCCCCTGCACAGGCAGCCACATGTACATGTATGTTCATGGGCGTGGGCCTTGAGCACTGGATCCCGTGAGCCACTGCACCTGGCCAACTGGGTCCATGTCCATAATCACAGGTGTCCACGCAGGGCCTCCCTTGGATCGGGGAGCTCCAGGCTCTGGAAACCAGGTCAGGGCTGCATGCACACACACGTGTGTGTGTGTGTGTGTGGTGTCGTGTCACTCTGCCTCAGAGGCCCAACCACTGCCTCCAAGTCATGGGAGTGCAGAGCCCATGTGAGCTCAAACACTGCCCCATGTCATAGAAAACAGGGCCAAAGCTCAGAGAGGGCCCATGACTTGCCCAGTGTCACACAGCAAGGTGGGGCCAGTCTGGGAGGGAAATGAACCAGACCTTATCCACATCCCTGACCTTTTTGCTTCATGCTTGGAGCTTGGCACCCCCTGCGAACCACACTCCATTGACCTCTGGGAAATGGAGACTGGTGATTCTCCCAGCAAACCCACCTGGGAACTAACCACAGGCTCCTCCCAGCCTTCACTAACCAACCCCAGGATTTCCAACACCAGTGCTTTGCTTAGCTGTGCTGGGCACCTGAAACTCATTCTCCCTGCCACCCTCCCTTCCTGATTCCTTGAATAAGATTCAGCCTTCCAAATTTTACTCAAATGCTTCTACTTTCTCTGACACCCTGGAACTTTCCCCTGTCGCCAGCCTCCCTCCAGCATCTGTCCCCTCATTCTTACCTCCTGTTTACTTCCCCACAAAGGCCAAAAATTGACCCCTAGAGCCCGAGACTCTGGGTGGAGGATCTTCTTAGCTGGGACCACACCCAGAACAGCCCAGCCCTTCAGACTCTTGCCAGTCACAGTGGGGTGGGCCCTGGAGCTGAAAGAGGAAACAGCCTCCACCAGAGTCACCACCTGCCCTCAACCCTGCTTCTCCTCCGAAGGCCCAACAAGGTCCTGTGTGCCCTCCAAGGGCAGAGGAGGCTGCTGGCTGTGGGAGGAGACCTGGAGCACTGGGCCCGAGGAGTTTGCTATTCCAGCTTTTATTTACTCCTCTGTACCCTGAGCACCATTAACTGGGTGTCAGGCCTGTGCCTGTATTTGGCAGGGTGAGGGGTGGGGGCCAGACAAATTGTAGAGAAGCCTCAGGTCTTTGGGGTGTTGCCCCTCCACTACATGGCCCCAGACCAAGTTCTCTGCCAGTTTGCAGAGCTCTTCCCTTCCACTTGGTCTTGAGGAGAGGCCAGAGAGGCTGCCTTTACCCCATGAGCTCTGAACCCTCTCACTATCTGGCTGTCCCCTCATTCTCTCACTACCCACTCCCACTCCCGATGGGAGCCTCAGGCCCGGCTTAGGAACCCTGCCCATAGCTGTACTGATGTCCTTGGCTTTGCTATAGGGAAAGAACACAGCCACTCCACACTCTAGGACAGCCAGCTTGCGTCCAGTCCCTAGTGCAGAGGGGCTAGTTTAGGGAAGGACATTAGGAACCTGCCCGTGCACCTGACTCAGGGGCCCCAGAGAAGATTTAGTGGGCTAAGGGTGGGCAGGAGAATACAACTCTCAGCCAAGCAGAAGGTGGCTTTCAGCTCCCCGCTTCTCATTTCGTTTTACCCTGGCTGCACCAGGGCCATGCCCCTCATGGAAGGTTCGCTTTCCTGCTTATCTAGTCTCAGGTGTTACAGTTTTTCTTGTTATGTATTACACAGAGAGATGGCCTAACTGGTTCTTGCTGCTGCAAGGTCAAGTCATTAATTTACAGGGGTTTATCTTATAACTGGACAGCTTTTTGGTTTCTCTTACAAGATGTGCTGGTTGTTGCTTCTCTTGGATTTTCTACATTGACATTTTACCACTGAAAATAATGACAAATTTGTCTTTTCCTTTCTTTCTTTTCTTTTTTTTTTTGAGACGGATTCCCACTCTGTTGCCCAGACTGGAGTGCAGTGGTGTGATCTCCACGCACTGCAACCTCCGACTCCCAGGTTCAAGCGATTCTCTTGGCTCAGCCTCCCGAGTAACTGGGATTACAGGCATCCACCACCATGCCAGGCTAATTTATTTTTTGTATTTTTAGTAGAGATGGGGTTTTGCCATGTTGGCCAGGCTGGTCTCGAACTCCTGACCTCAAGTGATCTGCCCACCTCGGCCTCCCAAAGTGCTGGGATTACAGGCGTGAGCCACCATATCTGGCCTGTCTTTTCCTTTCTAATACTTATGGCTCTTATTTATTTTTCTTGTTTAATAGTTTGGCTGAAACCTTCAATACAATGTTGAAAAACAGTGACAGCTAGAGCATTTGTATATTGTTTCTCCCTT